GGAAAGAGTATCCTGATCCAATCATCTGATAAAAAGATATAACTGTATCATAACACTTAAAGGCGTTGTGATCCTTTCTGGCCTCTGAGACAACATCATGAAATACTCAAATAATACTTTCACTTGCTACACACCACCAATTCTAGGATGCGATTGGCACCTGCAGGAGATGTCTTATCTCTCTCCACTGACTTAGAAGGAAATAACACAGATAACTTAAAGAGATTAATGCTGGGTGAGAGACTTTATCTGAAGAGATATAGAGTATGATTACATGAAACTCTCATGTAAAATTCTGGCTACCTCATCCAAGAAACATGAATTCCAACTAGGATAGAGTTGGATTTTATTCAAGGGACTAGCACACTGCACAGGAAAAGACAAAGACACTTTCTTTGTTTAAAAAAGAGTGAAGTAGAGTATGGCAGTTTTGGCTGGGATAAGATTAATTTTCTCCATACTAACTTGTATGGGGCCATGTTTTGGATTTGTGCTGAAAACACTGTTGATAACACAGGGATGTTTTAGTTATTGCTGAGCAGTGCTCACACAGAGTCAAAGCCTCTTCTGCTTCTGACACCTCCTTGCCAGAGAGTGGGCTGGGGGTGCACAAGAAATTGGGAGGGAACACACCTGGGGACAGATGACCCCAACTGACCAAAGAGATACTCCACACCATATGACATCATGTTCAGCATATAAAGCTAGGGGAAGAAGCAGGAGATGGGAGTGCCTGGAATTATGGTGTTTGTCTTCCCAAGTAATTAACCTGCTATCCTGGAGATGGCTGAACACCTGCTGGTCAATGGGAAGTTGTGAATGAATTCCTTGTTATGTTTTGCTTGCATCAATGGCTTTTGCTTTACTTATTGAACTGTCTTTATTTCAATTCATGAGGTTTCTTGTTTTTATTCCTCTGATTCTTGCTCTCACCCCACCAGGGAGGAGTGAGTGAGCAGGTCTGTGGTGCTTAGTTGCCAGCTGAGATTAAACTATGACATAGGGACAGTTATGGTCCAAAATCAAGAGTTTAAAAATTCCAATGATCTGTGGAAGTTTCCACAACTTTTCAGTACAACTACAAGACAGACACCTCAGACTCCTTTCTCTCTCAGAGATCTAGGGCTTATTCCCAGGAGAGTTCACCTCATGAGGTGGCTGCATCACTGGCAGTTTGACAATCCCTGTTTACAGCAGAACTTGGAATCTGCCACTCTGTGCCTCTGTGGATCCTGTGCAGTCTAGTCTGGCTCATTTGGGGCAGGTAGTACAGCGAATCCCTTCTATTATTCATGAAAGCCATGGGTTATCATACAATTTGTGGAATTAAAACACTGTAAATGTTGCCTTTTTTTTTCTTGAATATATTCTGAAATGCACAAGAGAGCTATCCTATTACTGTACAGATGGTATCACACTGTCAGTGACATGCAGCCTGACTAGAATTCAAGACATTCCTAAAGTAACTTGTTTCTTTACTCTGACCTTGTTTTATTCTTCCTTTAATGGCTCTTAATTTGGTTTATCTACAAAAATTGAACTTATCTGATCATAAAGGTAATAGCCTAAAGGTTGCAATTTCTGAAACCAGAGAGATGAACATGATCTGGTTTTAACTATCACTTAAATAGATACTGTTACAAGAACTCCTGTGCTGATATATACAGATACCATTTCTATCGTAGCACTGCTCAAAATCTAAGTGAACATATTTCAGCAACTCATTAAATAAACAAACATAAAAAAGACCACCAAAACACAACAAAAACTCCCTCTTGACAAGCATCATCTCAGTTTAGCATCAGTTCACAGTTATCACCACACAGTTTGACAGTTTGTGTCTGGAAATAAGAGATTCATTTTCAATTCTCTTCCCAAAGAAAATTATTTTTAAAGAAAGAACCTGGAGAGTTTCTCTGCTACCATGCAGTGTTCCAGTGTGACAGGACACAAGCTTGTCTGACTTAAAGCACTGCCATAAAACTTTCTTTCTCTGCCTTTGTAGAGAAGCACATATTTGCACCTCTCTGTAGATTTGTAGAGCTGACTGCACTTTCTGATGAAAGGCGGAGAAGGTCCCACAGGCATCGTGCAAACCATTCTACACATGACAGAAACACAAAAATACCCATCAAGCTAACAGCGGAGAAAGAAAGGAAGCATGATAGCAGTCAAAATCCTAAAAAGACCTCTAAGTTTCAATTCCTGCTCCTAAGGCATTGAGTTCCTGGGATGCTTATCTCCATTAAATTCAGGCTTTCAGGCAATCACCCAAGCAGGCTGCTTGCAAAGCTTCCAGGTTCTGGGATTCACCAGTAACACAAAACCCTACCAACTCGCAGATGTATGAAAACCTGAAAAGAGAATTTGGAGACAAGACCAAAATCTATATGATAATGAAGATGGAACACATTTGCAACGCCGTGAAAACCACAGTTTCTCCTGAATTCCACTCAACAACTTCAAGACAGCCTAAAAAGACAGATAGCTGTCCAAAAGTAGTGTTCCCTTCCTTGCTCTTCTGTTTTTCTTTGGCTTCGTCCCCTTGTCTTCATCTCACTTGTCCAAGGCTTATTGTTCAGTGTGACAAGGGAGCATCTGGGGGTTCTTAAACATATTATGCTATTCCATGGGTTTCAGCCTGGGAAGATGGGACTGAAGTAGAAGAAAGGGCTGGAAGACGCAAAATGAGACTAACTTCTGGAATCCTTTCTTTGTTAGGATGTGAAGATTGTTTCAGAAGCCAAAAGGCATGAGTACTGTCCAGGAAACATCCTGCTGCTATTTACACCATCACACATACCTTTCAAGATAACTTTGTTAATATTATATCATAAGTATTCATAAATAATGCTTTTTCCCATATGATGCACTTTAAATGTCCTCTAAAAGCAAGGAAATAAATCTAACAAAAGAAAACAAGAAACGAATGAGGCAGAGGCCACCATCTTCACAAAAAGAAAGATGCTTTCAAAATAAGAACAAGACACCAAAAGGCTAATAAAAGTTTATCATACCTAGATTGAAAATATTTTGAGCCCAGAAGCTAGGGTCACAGTGAAACTGGATAGTATTGTTAGTCACTGGTGAAGCATCACACCTTGCTCGGAGAAGATACCGTAGCCGATATGTAATCTAAAACACAAACAAAGTAAGATTTTTATTCTCTAAGGCCTGAGTTATGTATCCAAACAGCATAAAGTCTTTAAAACAAAACAGAAGAACAACAACAAAAAGTCCCCCCAAAAAAACACCCCAAAACCAGCCACCAACAAAAACCTTTAACAAGCCCCTAGAGAATTGATGTGAAAGAGAGAAATTTTTCCAAGCTACAAATAAAATGTATTATCAATAACTTTCCATTGTTCCTAAATGCAGTTTTCTTTCTAGGCTTCAGTGCACTCTGATGGCTCATGTTGAGCTTCTCTTCTACTACCACCCCCTAGTTCTTCTCCTCAGGACTGCTCTCCAGTCATTCTTCCCCCAGCCTGTGTTTGTGCCTGGGGTTGTGCTGACCCAGGTGCAGGACCTTGCACTTGGCCTTGTTGAACTTCATGGGGTTGGCACTAACCCACCTCTTCAGCCTGTCAATGTCCCTCTGGCCCTTGAGCTTAACATCCCTCACCAGCTCTTCCTTGTTGGTGAGGACAAGATCCAGCATAGCACCTCTCCTTGTTTGTTCCTCGATTACTTGGAAAAGGAATTTATCATCCTTGCACTCTAGGAACCTCCTGGATTGTTTGCATGTACCAGAGTTGTTCTTCCAACACATGTCAGGGTGGTTGAAGTCTCCCATGAGGACCACGGCATGTGAATGTGAAGTTGCTCATACCTGTCTCTATAATGCCTCATCTATATTATCCTCCTGCTCAGGTGACCTGTGGCAAACCCCCACCATGATGTCACCTTGGCCTTTCTTCCCCTTAATGTTAACCCATAAGCTCTCTGTTGGCTCCTCATCTGTCTCCAGGGAGAGCTCCATGCACTCCAGCTGGTCTCTGACATAGAGGGCAACACCCTGACCCTGTCTCCCCTCTCTGTCTTTCCTAAAGAGTTTGTAACCTTAGGATTTGTGTACACTACCAGCATCAAGTATACTATGCTACAGAAATTCTAGTCCTTTGTTTTGTCACCAATACTAGATGCACACAGTTCTTGTCCTAGTTTGTTCCATATATTCCTCCTATGAGAAGAGGCTGAGGGAACTGGGATTGTTTAGTTTGGAGAAGAGGTGGCTGAGGGGACACTTAATTGTTCTCTACAACTACCTGAAAGGAGGTTGTAGTGACGTAGGTATTGGCCTCTTGTGCCAAGTAAATAATGATAGGACTGGAGGAAATGGCATGAAGTTGCACCACAGGAGGTTTGGATTGGATATTAGGAAGAATTTATTTACCTAGAGAGTGGTCAGCCAATACAGCAGGCTGCCCAGGGAGGTGGTTCAATCACCATCCCTGGAGGTATGCAAGAAACGTGTAGACATGGCAGATCAGGACATGCTGTAGTGGACATGGTGATTTTTTCTAGGTTGACTGTTAGACTTGAGGATCTCAGAAGTCTTTTCCAACCATGACAATCCTGTGATTCTGTGCTTGTGCTCACACATACATCGTAGATAAACTCATGACAAGACTAGCTACCTCCTGTAAGTAATAGTGGTAGCTACCACTGTTTTGTTTGTGCTAGAGGATTAGGCTGGTAAGCTAATGTCTTCCCACAAACTGTTTAGCATGCAATTTCCCTGAAGTACAGACATTGCCTCCTAGCTGTAGCTCTGTATCTAAGTTGGCTGGGAATTCCTCCCTTCTAGTTTCAAGCACTTGGATATGCCAAAGCAGACCTCTCACATTCTCCTTTATACATCATTGCTCAGGAACAAATGTTCCAGATGTCCACAGACAGGTTAGCCACTCAACTCCCAAAGAACACCAACTTTCAGCAAAAAATCAGGAGCCTATAGCTGATCTGTTCTTCTGAAAAATATTTATTTGCTGAGGCTTTATGGGCTAGATGGTCTTTTTCTTCAGCTGCATAATATTTATTAGATTAAGACACCTGCAACATAATACAACTTCTCTTTTTCACATAGCAGAAGTCTTTGTGGCAACACTAAACAACTATAAACAACATGACTCAGTTTGATGCCTTCTATTCAATTTAAAATGATGACTTGCTGAGGCAGTATAAGGCAGGCCAAATGAATTTAACTACCTGAAGTAAGTTGATAAAATTAAGTAATATTCCACCATCTGCTATAGCCTGCAGCTCTTTTCTGGGAATCAAAAAAAAAAAAAAGGAAAAACACACCACCAGTAACTCCAAAACCAAAGAGACAGATCCCACAAAACTCCCCAGTAGGTTCTCAACTAAGCAATGAGAAAATTAAGACAAAGATTTTTGATCCAGTTATAGGAGTTGGACAAGAACATGTTTCTGTCATCAGGCTAGCACAATGCTAGTAACTTCTGGACAAACCGTGGTCAGCTTTTTGTTGTGGTTTTTTTTGTGGTTTTTTTTCAAGTCTTTTAGGATCTCTGTTTATCTTGAGCAGTCAGCTTAGTGAGACCACATGAACTCAGATCTTTAGTGTCATAATAGCACTGAAATATTCACAACTGTTTGCATGGACAAGCAAAAGTCTCGGCTTCCTTTTTATAATTTTTTGAATACTTTTAGTGGAAGGTGAGTGACAGAACAAAGCAATACAATAATTTTTACATTAAAATGCTATATTGGACCCTACAATGTATACATACCATCTTCCTCTGAACTTGGAGGTAACAAGTACTGAAAAGAACCTTAACAATGATGTAGGACACAACAACGTTTTTCCCATTGTTTCATGGCTTTGTGTTTTTCACTCCCTACTTCTGCAGATCTACAACAATGCTCTGGTAGTGTAACAGAAGACAATGACCAGAGAGCTAAATTATTAGAAACATTATGTCTTCAAGAGAAAACCATGAAAAATTATATACAAATATTGCTGTTAGTAGAAAGACATTAGCACGTCTAACTGTCCAGTGTTACTTGCAATCATTTGAGTGCATATTTGTCTTAACTGCATGCTCTACGTAGCATATAATCTTAACTATATGCTCTATCTGTCCTTACCAAGCGTTTGCTGTACAGTAGTGCTGTGCTGCTCCCACTGGAAACTGCCCATTTGGAAAAATTCATTACATGTTCCAGCTGTTTAGAGAGACCTGCCACTTCCTGTTGTTGCTGCAGAAGTTTCACCCTATGCTCTTTTGCCAGACTCTGCAAGTAGAAAAGCAGTTCCAGTTAGAGGATTCAACTCACAGTTAAACAGGCATTAGCTTTTGTATGTGTAACTCACAATGATCAAGTATTTTCACTCAGCTCTTCTAAAAAGCACCACTCCTGCCCCCTGACTGCAGCTATCAAACAGAAAAGTCACTGCATAGGGACTTTCTGTGCAGATTCCCATTTTCTCTTAGGATATGTTTTTGTGTGTATGTATATATATTTGTATGTATGTGCCTCTTTACACACACACTCTTTTAAAACACAACTGGAGATTATATTTTCCCAGGTACCCATTCTAGACAATTCTCTCCTTTGACTTGCTACTGGATCCCTGAGTCTATGAAAAATTCTGATAGAAACACTTTTCATGCATGACGCATACATAGAATTATGACTTGCAAAAGCATGGAGAAAGAAACAGGGCTCAGAGACAGCCCTGATTCACAAAGCAGGAAACACAGGTAACAATTAGAAAAAAAACAACAATTCCCAAAAAACAAAACCTTCCTCCCCACGCCCACCAAAATCCCACTTGCTCAAATGGTTTGTGTGGGTCATTTCTCCATTTTGGAATTGCAATAGGACATGCACAGGTGGCAAATGCTAGAAATGGATTTTATCTCAACATGAATCCACATTAAAATATTAAGACTGACATTTTTTATTCTTATGAAAGAAATTAAATTACCTCCAACTGATGCAGTAGAGCTTTTCCCTTTTTATTTATTTCTACCATCAGTGTAAATATGGCAACTTTAATATCCTGTTCCACCTGCTTTTGATTCTGATTCACTTCAAGAATTCTGTAAGCAGACAGTATAGAAAATAATGTCCTTTAGCCCACAAACCCAAACCAACCATCATTAAAAAAAAACCCACAACCTTCTAGTCTGTTGCTGAGACTACAGTATTTCTTGGTCATAAGCATTAATTATTAGATATACCATCAGATACTTATAGTCAAGAAAATGGGAGAAATAGAAAGAGCAAGTATCAGTAAACTATGATAAAATTAACTTAACTGGTGGCAAAATCTAATGCCAAAAGTCTGTAAAATTCCTGACATCTGCCACTGATAAAAATTTTATGCTCATTGTAATTATCGATTTCTAATTGTACAGCACATTTCTGGACCAGTCCACATCAATCAAAACTGTTTCAGTCTCATTTCCATCTAAGGTAGAATGGTGCTCCAGAAACAAAAACAATAAACAGATTTTCTAATGTAGCTGTCTCAACAATAGTGCTCAAACTTGCAACAGCAAAGCATAATCTTACATTGTGAAAACACTACTGCTAAGATGCAAGGGAGAAAAATTACTTTGATACAGCAAAAGAAGAGAAGGGTGTCTGCTGGTGTGGTTTTTCTCCATCCCACCACCCTCAAAGACAGGAAAAGAGAAAGAAAGAGTTCAAGTTACAGTCAGCATCCCATACTGCATTGAATCTTCCCAGGTGCTGTCTTTGAGCTCTGCTAAAGGAGCAGTTACAAAGGCCAACTGCAGCACACACTTTTCTCCTAGGTTTGTAGTACCAAACAAAGCCCCAAGCTGAACCTTCAAGTGTGTCACAAGCATAATGAAAACATGAGTCATAACCTTTCACTTTCTAAGAGATATCTAGACTAAGGAAAGAAGTGTGGTGATGGTGGGGAAGAATGTAAGATTGCCTTCTACTGTCTTTATTTCATAAGTTGTTCTGTTGCACCCAAGCTATTGCTGCCCAGTAAGTCCACAGGCTGAGCAGAAGAGTTACTTAACATAACCAAGCACATTAAACAGGCAACTTTCACTTTCTCTCTCTTTTAGAGAGAGATACAAAACGCACTGATGTAAATGTTTCAAGAAATTAGATTGTATAAGTAAAGTTGCTATGTCAGTTTTAACCTCCACATTTGATACATACCTGTTTTGGATCTGCTTCCCTGTGTATTTTATGTACTTAGTTTTCTCCATCAATTTGGTGATTAGTGTCTCAATGATCACTTTCTGGTTCTGAAAAGCTTCTTCTATAAACTGGTACCTGTAGTAAAAAAGAGTCAGTATTTACACACGCAAAAGGTGTGATACACTTGCTAAAAAGCAGAGTGCCTTATAAGACTTATTTAATTGAAGAAAGATGCTGCTTAAGTAAAAAATTTAACTGTCAACATGGTAACATGTCAGTAAATACTTATATTTTATTTATAATATATTTGAATTTACAGTATATCTCCTGCAATATTTTTAAATATAATTTAGGGTTTTCATAAATACAGAGGGATATCGCATGACCATGGCCTAATTTTAGCAAAACAAAAATTAATGTTGTGCTGCAGTCATCACTTTGTAAGTGAAAGTGCACATAAGCTGTTACTTCATCCAAGATAAGCATGTAGAAAAAGAAGGCAAAAGATTACTGAGTCAGTAGAAGTCAGCAACATTTTAAATCAAGGAAATGAAATCACCAACAATTTGATGAAAAATAGAAGTGGCATGTTCTGAAAGGGATATAACTCCTGAGAAAAAGAGAATTGGAGAGTAAGACTCGAACTCTGCAAGAACAAGGTTTAGCCTGTTCCAAGGAGCATCAGCAGATACTTATAGTCAAGAAAATGGGAGAAATAGAAAGAGCAAGTATCAGTAAACTATGATAAAATTAACTTAACTGGTGGCAAAATCTAATGCCAAAAGTCTGTAAAATTCCTGACATCTGCCACTGATAAAAATTTTATGCTCATTGTAATTATCGATTTCTAATTGTACAGCACATTTCTGGACCAGTCCACATCAATCAAAACTGTTTCAGTCTCATTTCCATCTAAGGTAGAATGGTGCTCCAGAAACAAAAACAATAAACAGATTTTCTAATGTAGCTGTCTCAACAATAGTGCTCAAACTTGCAACAGCAAAGCATAATCTTACATTGTGAAAACACTACTGCTAAGATGCAAGGGAGAAAAATTACTTTGATACAGCAAAAGAAGAGAAGGGTGTCTGCTGGTGTGGTTTTTCTCCATCCCACCACCCTCAAAGACAGGAAAAGAGAAAGAAAGAGTTCAAGTTACAGTCAGCATCCCATACTGCATTGAATCTTCCCAGGTGCTGTCTTTGAGCTCTGCTAAAGGAGCAGTTACAAAGGCCAACTGCAGCACACACTTTTCTCCTAGGTTTGTAGTACCAAACAAAGCCCCAAGCATAAAAGTATTACATGAATCTTCAAGTGTGTCACAAGCATAATGAAAACATGAGTCATAACCTTTCACTTTCTAAGAGATATCTAGACTAAGGAAAGAAGTGTGGTGATGGTGGGGAAGAATGTAAGATTGCCTTCTACTGTCTTTATTTCATAAGTTGTTCTGTTGCACCCAAGCTATTGCTGCCCAGTAAGTCCACAGGCTGAGCAGAAGAGTTACTTAACATAACCAAGCACATTAAACAGGCAACTTTCACTTTCTCTCTCTTTTAGAGAGAGATACAAAACGCACTGATGTAAATATTTCAAGAAATTAGATTGTATAAGTAAAGTTGCTATGTCAGTTTTAACCTCCACATTTGATACATACCTGTTTTGGATCTGCTTCCCTGTGTATTTTATGTACTTAGTTTTCTCCATCAATTTGGTGATTAGTGTCTCAATGATCACTTTCTGGTTCTGAAAAGCTTCTTCTATAAACTGGTACCTGTAGTAAAAAAGAGTCAGTATTTACACACGCAAAAGGTGTGATACACTTGCTAAAAAGCAGAGTGCCTTATAAGACTTATTTAATTGAAGAAAGATGCTGCTTAAGTAAAAAATTTAACTGTCAACATGGTAACATGTCAGTAAATACTTATATTTTATTTATAATATATTTGAATTTACAGTATATCTCCTGCAATATTTTTAAATATAATTTAGGGTTTTCATAAATACAGAGGGATATCGCATGACCATGGCCTAATTTTAGCAAAACAAAAATTAATGTTGTGCTGCAGTCATCACTTTGTAAGTGAAAGTGCACATAAGCTGTTACTTCATCCAAGATAAGCATGTAGAAAAAGAAGGCAAAAGATTACTGAGTCAGTAGAAGTCAGCAACATTTTAAATCAAGGAAATGAAATCACCAACAATTTGATGAAAAATAGAAGTGGCATGTTCTGAAAGGGATATAACTCCTAAGAAAAAGAGAATTGGAGAGTAAGACTCGAACTCTGCAAGAACAAGGTTTAGCCTGTTCCAAGGAGCATCAGCAGCCAACACTTCACCTACTGATGTTCATCTGGTCAGGCAAGCAAGTTCTTTGGGTGGTTGCATCAGGTATAGTGAGCATATTAACACTTAACCTAAGAGTACATCTGGCCTAGACCACTACTGTACCTGTTGGCCAGCAAGACTGTTTTGTACTCAGAAGTTGTATAAAATCCTGCCCTTCAGCTTCTGGGGCCAGCAGGAGATTACCAAAGAAAAGCAACCCAAAGATTTGAGTGTGTTGTCAAAGCATAGCCAAACTATAGGTTTACTCTTCCTCTTATTTAAAGGGCCCTTCACAGAAAAAAAAAAAAGCCCATTTGCTCCATTCTGAAATTGTTTGGCAATGTTCTGTTATATAATTGTCTTGTTGAAGGACAAATAGAGAAATTACACAGAAGTGTACAGTTGTGTAACACAGCCCCTGTGCTTTCTAAGGACTCTGTGATGAGCTGCATAGCAACAAACTGTCCAAATAACTTGACAGTGAAGTAAGGTCTTGTGCTTAAATCACCAGATTAAAAATTAGAAGAATTAGGTTTTATTCCAAATTATCACACACTCGTCAGCCACATTCTTTTGGATACAAACCTGAGCAAAAAAACTATTTTTGCACTTTTTTCACCTGGCTGTGTTCACCCACACAGCTAGAGCTACAATCAACTTCAACCTATTCTAAGTGAGTTGCATAAAACATATATTTTCTTTCAATACCTGTGCTCTTTGTGTTCTAGTAACTGACAGTCTCGGCAGGTCAGCTTGTCACAGGTTTCACAATACAACTTCAGCTGCTCCTTTTTGTGGTAAGGACAAAACACAGGTCGCTGACTGGTCACACCAACTGCCTCTGTTGAATAAAGGAAGTTAAGGTAAGTTTGCAGGTAAGGTAAGGAAGGTAAGTCTGCAGATGACAACAAGGTGGGCAGGAGTGTTGATCTACCTGAGGATAAGAAGGCTCTACAGAGGAATGTGGATGGGCCAGGTTCAATAAGGCCAAGTGCCAGGTCCTGCATTTGGGCCAAAACAACCCCAGGCAATGTTACAGGCTTGGGGAAGAGTGACTGGAAAGCTGCCTGGCAGAAAGGGACCTGGGGATGTTGATTGACAACTGGCTGAATATGAGCCAGCAGTGTGCCCATATGGCCAAGGCCAATGGCTTCCTGGCTTATATGAGAAATACTGTGGCCAGTAGGACTAAGATTGTCCTTCTGTACTGGGCACTGGTGAGGCCCAGTGTTCAAGTACTGTGTTCAGCTTCAGCTCCACTACAAGAAGGACACTGAGGTGCTCTTTGTGTTCTAGTAACTGACAGTCTTGGCTAACAGTTGGACTTGATGATCTTATGGGTCTTTTCCAACCTAGTTGATTCAATGATTTTAAGATGTCAGTCCAGTCTCCTGAGATTACTAAATATTTGCATTCTCCTGCTTTTCCTTACCATATTCCTTACCTAGATGGTATAAGTGTGTATCAGGCCACCTAACTGAGAACGTAACAGCTGTAAGCTCAAACTGCAATGCCTCACTCTTGATCAAACAAGGACCTAACACCCGCTATCATGGAAAATGTCTAGAACTTATTTTAACATAACACAAAAGTATTTGCAAAAGGAGCAGCCAGTACTTTTTCAGTTGCAAGAGACATTGCGCAACCTGCAAGTTCCTTTCTTAAATGGAGATGAGGACACTGCTGACTTTGTTCATTGCTGTATCTTCTTCCTTAATCAAGTGGGTGAAAAGGGGTTTGAGGACATCAACACACAAGAATTTGAAAGTTTAAACTATAAAGAATATAATAATCAGAAATCACTAATGTCCCTTCAAGACATTCTAAATGGGTGAGAGGACTCACTTCTGCTTCTAGCGAGCAAATGCCAAAGAGCACCCCCAGATGATACAAACAAAATCTGTTTTTTAAACAGTTTAACCAACAAAGCCTAGTTTCTTATAGGCCTGAACACTGAGTCCATAAGGATTACACTGTCTGTAACAAAAACTGGCTTCAGACTGCAGCAGATCACTGCAGATCAACAAGATCTCTTCTCCATACCATTCAATTTTCATGAAACCTGGAAGGAGTAATTTTCAGATCTCTACCCTTCAGTCAAAATGAAAAGTGGGATACAGAATATCGTGTATATCCCAAAAATATTGTACTGAAAGCCACCCCTTTGAGCAATAAAGATTACAGAAGTGAAAGTCCACATTACATATAAAATTCACAGGACTAGATATGGTGGAATAAAAATAAATACAAATATTTATAATAATGTATTTTTTTAAAGTATATTTACAATATAAAACACGCAAGCACAATGGACTTAGAACTGGCAGCATGTTTGTCAATACCCAATTTTGTTAATAATTGTCCTGCATTGTCACTGGAAGACAAGACACAATGGGCATAAACTGAAACAAAAGAGGTTCTCAGTGAATAGAAGTACAGCCTTTTTTACCATGAGAATAGCCAAGATTTCTCAGAGAGGCTGCACTGTACACCACATCCACCCTTGCTGGTTTCTCAAGGTCCAAATGGATACAGCCCTGAGCAACCTGATCTGATCTCACAGCTGACTGCTTTAAGCAGGAGGCTGGAGTAAATGATCTCCTGAGGTCCCTTCCAACCTCAATTATCATAGCTCCTACTGAGAAAAACAACCCAATTCATAATATACTTCTGTTTTAATTTCTATAGCAAAATGTTAAAAACTTAAAATGTACTTGGCTAAAACATGAATTCTGGCATGCTTTATTGCTAATAGAGGATGCTTTATTGTCAGAGTGCTGAAAAAATATAATTTATTAGTGCTCCTTTTGCTGTGATACAGAACAATAAAGTTCGGTCAACCTCTAGAAAGACTAGATGCATAAAGAAGTATTTTCTGCACCAGATCTCTAAAGTCTAGACAATAATTTGCAATCATTCCAGGTGAAAGACAAAATCTATGTGTATTTATTGGTTTACAACACTTTATATAAAAATCATATGAAGTACCAATCTGTAGGGTTTCTTATCACTATGCAGCACATCTGACAGGAAAACCTGTCAGAAGAACAGCTATCAAACCCTCAGCCACAAAGTGTCCCTTTTCAATAGCTATGTTCTGATGCATCTAATGCTTAAAACAAAGCTTTCTCTCTTGTTACCTGCATAATTTAAGAAATCCACTTAGATGACAGCAGCCAAAGAAACACCAGAATTTATTCAAATGTTTGCCTCCCTCAGCAATGAAACTGAAACAAGCAACTGGGAGGCAGGAAACTATTCAAGTACGTCCATTGCCAACCAGAAAAATAACAGGGTTCCACCAATTAATATGCACCGAATGGTTATTTCATAAGGAATCTGTGCTTTTACATTTAGTAGGATTAAGGAATACAATTTTTGAAATCCATCACTTTAAAAATAAATGTGGTGGTCAAACACAGTTTTCCAACACAGACACACATTCTTTGTAAAATAATAAATCAAGTGTGTTACCTGGAGATACTTCCTCTTTCTGTCTTACAGTATGATCTTTTGTGAATTTAACCCTCTGGTGAGCTCTGATGCAGGTCTTGCACAACCATTCCACACATTCCACACAAAAACCGTGAGCTTCTGCATTGTCTTCACAGCTTGTGCAGACCTGACATGAGAAAGAAAAGGTAGCTGTTGAAATCAATATAGACTATACATACAAGCTACTGTTCCTATATAATCAGTGAACTTTCATAGTTTTCTGAAAACAGACAAATGAGAATGGAAAACTGCCTGAGGTACAGGAACACTATAAATAACTATATAAAATTGAATGTGACTCTTCAAAGAAAGTGGTCATTTTGTCAGTGTTACTCTAAAACCTTTACCTGACATGATACAAATCAAACCATTATTTTCTGCCCAACACTGCACACTTAGAAGCCTAAAATGTTTACTATGTACAACATGCTCTTATGAAATGTTTACTAAAGACAGAACAGGAGCAGCAATGCTCTGATCTTAGAGGCCTCCTTCAGTTCACACAGAAGTTTTAATTTTGGTTTCTCTTTACCTGCTTAGTTTCAGAGGTACAAACAGTACTGAGCAGCAGCAGGGCTTTTCTCAAGAATCTCTGCATCATCACTTAAAGAGAGCATTCCAGTTAAGCTTATCAGTAAAGCTACCCTAGAACAGATTTGCAGCCAATGCATAATAATTTCAAACTGTGGCCTCTTCATTCCTGGGGCTCTCTGGACAACACTCAAGAGATTTAGAATTAAAAAAATAAAAAAATAAGGAAAACAAACCTGACAGCAGACCAAAATATCTCTGTACAGAGAGGAAAAAGTTCCTGTGGATCCATAATTTGAACAAGCTGAAAACTGAGCGATGGACAACACCTCTTGACTTGTTCATAACATTTTTAACACCTACTTTCCAGTGCCTCCCTCATCATACCTTCAGGAGGTTTTGGGTGTCAACTATAGTGAACATACTTACGCACATAGTTGTTTAGGTAACTAGCATCTATTTCTATTTCTATCAACATTTAGTACAGTGCAAACAAAGGTCTCAAGATCTCTGAAGAAATCTCTATCTTACAGATCACAGTGATAGAATTCTGCTAGAAGGAGCAACAAGGAGAAAAATTTAGATTTTAGTTTAGTTCCCAGTTTGGCCAAAAAAAAAAAAATCTAGCTTCTGCATCTGCACAAAATAAACATAGATTAAGTTAAAAAGGAAGCAAATATTTAACCCCTATGCAGATACATAATATATATGTAGAACTACCTCCCAGTTTCCTCTTCAAGGAAAAGAGGAAAATCAGCACAAAACTTGCATTAGGCCAATATAGCAAGTTACTGACAGAACTGGAATTTGAACACAGGAGTTCCAGAATCCCAATGCTGTGCTTATTCTTCTGGATCATGTTGCCTCTCAAAGCAAGTACCTTCTGAGAAATGAAGTTACAACACAAGGGTTATTGACCCCTCTTGCTGTCACTTGCAGTCTGAAGCAGTTCCTTTTCATTAAAGGACCTGCTGCAAAGGAGAAAAAATTGGTCTTGTGCCCTTTCTTCTATCTGTTTATAAGAAGGCCTGGAAGTTTTATTTTTAAAAATCTTTTCTTTTTTTTTTTTTTAAATGTTTCACTTAGTTTCGTTGTTTCACAACAAAAATTCTAGTCCTACCCAGACTGGTTTACTAGGGAGAAATATCGAAGTCAGGACATTATTAGAAAGTCCAGAAAATGTAAGTAAAGCAGTTAAAGGAAGTTAATTGTAATGAGGAAATGGAACATTTTTACTTGCTCTTAACACTTAATCTCAATGACATTTGGGGGGGACCCAGCACAGCTTCTTGAAAAAGAAAAAATTAGAATGAGCAAATATCACTGAGACATTGCTTCAACATTACATTTTCTCTGGCAGAAACTCCCATGCAAGAAATTCCCTCCCTTCTCTTTTGCCAGCTGGCTCCTCCTCAGGTGTGCCAAGGCAACCCTCTGCAAGACTGTGGTGTAAAACCGGTTTGATTGCATCATTGTAGCCCAAGGATCAGTTCCACAAGCACTGCTGACTGGGCAGTGAACTACTGTAGGTCAAGAAAGCAGTTTTTAAATCAGTCTTGTTGCCAGAGAGGTATGATCAGCCTCTGAACCCAGATACCCAGAGGAGTTTTTGCAAGATAGCAGGGAGGATAAAAGATTGGATAACTGTTTGTTTAGTGTAAAAAACCCAACAGTGAAAACAAAATTAGGAAAAAACAACTTTTTAAGTCAAAGAAGCAAAGGAACAGAACCCCTCTCAGCCCCCAAAAGCCCTTCCAGGTCACCTTTAACAAATATAATCAGATAAACTTGCTAAGTAGCAGGGCATTTAAGCAAGTTCAAAAGAAGTTATTAATTCCTCTTAGATTTCAAGTTCTTTGCCTGTTTTCTTTTTTCAATATGCTTTCTTTTTATATTTTTTTCAACTGGTTTGACCTGCCATGGTTGGAATTAGATTAAGATTGTGATTCAATAACCAATTACTGGGTGCTACCAAATGAACTGAAACTCCTCCTTTGAGGTGCCAAAAATAAATATTCCAAATTTGTACACTTCAAAACCACCAAGTGGAAGAGACAGCTTCCTAAAATTTTTCATAGACATCATAACCCACACTGCCAAAATACCTATGGCCTCTAGGTAGAAACTAGATTTAATTCTACCCTCTTCTTATTTCAAATATGCATTTTCAGATATAGCTTGGATTTTGCTAGAACTCCTTCTTATTAGAATAAGTCATACAGTTAAAGTACATGGAAGTGCAATTACGGTAAATATTTGCTATATGCTTACAAAACCTAAAACTTACTTTGCCCTTACAGTTGTTTCATACAAGCAGTGCTACAGTGATTTGAAAGAAAACTCTCTAGTTATCCTGTAAGCCTTTATTCTGGTTAGACAGATATTTATTTTTAATTGAGTTTTCCTTGTAATTATATTTAATTCAGTTACTAGTTTCAGTATTTATAACCCCGGGAAGCATTCATTCAGCTTTCATTCAAATGTAATTAAATTACTCAGCATGTTGCAGGTAAGTACTATTTTTTCTGTTGTAAAAGCTTGTATATTTAAGATTTACTTGCAAGAGTTGAGGTAATACAGCAATCTTTTCAGCAACAGTGTTAGCTAACCACTCTTCCAATTATATATACTTTGAGTATTAAAGAGATTAACTAAGCAAGTAAAGGTTTCCAAGTTTCAGTGGAAGAAACCAAAGTAGTCCAGAGGAATATCCAGTGAATTAACATTCCAAAACTTCACCAGTGTAAAGTTAGATGGCAATGGCTTCCCCTGTTGGATCCAAAAAACATCGATGCTACTAGTTCTGTAACCGTTTCTTGGCACATACAAAATCAGAGACAGCACCTGACTTTTGGAACATTCTCGCCTATATGTAACTCTGTATGAACCAGGTGCTAATACCTCAAAATGTATGAGCCCTGACCAAAGTATCCTCTTTTCCCAAACATCCCATCAACACCTGTCTCTCTTCAAAGAACAACAAAACCATATTATGACTTAAGTCTGTTACCCACTGTCCTAAACCTATTCCTTTAAAAGACCTTTTGGCCATGGCTACCGCTTTGACAAGTTATTTTGCATCCAGGTTCTTCTTTGGAAGAACACATGGTGGCTACTCTGGCACCATACAAAAATAGAGAAACGTTTTGCTCTATATTGTTCTTCTTAGTTGTTTTATTATGCCAGTCAGACTTGCTGTCTTAGTATCCAGATCTACTGTAAGATCTAAATTCATAACTTGTTTTGTTACTACATTCCCGGTATCTCACATAAAAGTCCAACTGTTCCTCATCCCTACTACAACATTTAAAGCTCTCAGGTCAGTAACTGGTAAAGATAAAGTGTTCTAAGTGTCCTCACCATCAAAAGGTATTTTTTAATATGTGTTGTCTTATGGCCAGAGAAGCTATGAGAATTAGGACCCAGACTAAAATGCTCTACAGGTTCAATATGCTGCAGCAATGCCAGTGTTATCACTACGATCTTCTCACATGCATCATTCTCATACTTTTCATTTTTACTTTAATGGTTTTGTACAAGCATGAAACAATTTTCTTCTGTTAAGTGCCTAAACTTCATTTTTACTTTCTTCTCTTCGGTTCCTAAATTTCCCTCACTTCTCTACATTAATATTATTAAAATGAAGCTTTTGCTTCAGTAACATCTCTTGGGCTAGAAGCTTCTTTCAATGCGCTCATGCATCAAGTATCATCAATTTTTATTTTCAAGCTTCTTTTTAGCATTCAGTAATTGTTGCTAAGCCTTTCAAGAAATCATAATGTAACAAAAATTATAAAAGATCTATTCTTTCTAATTATTTATGTCCTAGGTGGCCACAACCTATAATGATTACTTTTCAGAAAGATCACAGCTGCATTTCCCATTAGTCTCTCTTCTGCAAACGTTTCTGTGCTACTAGCCAGCAAAAAATCCTTCATGTTCTCTTTCACACCAGCCAGGAAAGCCCTCGTGGAACATATACTAGGTAGTTTTACACCTTCTTTATGCTTACTTCTTTTGCTCCTGAAGCCTTCAGTAAAAATTGCTAGAAAGCACAGCTGTATAAGAAAGGGTACTGAACTGCTAAATCAGGCTCAGATACAGTAAACATGATTTTAGATAGATGGAGGGCATTTTAATGAATTCCTGTTGTTTTTCTCATCCCACAATGCCAGGCTCCATGATACACCATTCACTCCTACAGTTTAAATTAAATGTGCTAAACAGTATTTTAGCATTATTACCATTTTAAACCTGAAACAATCAAACTTTAATTTGAAAGTTATTTGGTTGGGTTTTTTTGCAGTCATAAATATGGATCAGTGGTTTTAACCACAGCATTACTTGCACAGAACCCATGGCTCGCCTGGAAGTCTAATTCCTTAAGCATCCTGCTAAAGCTGTTGAAGCACCAAAGCCAAATTGAGACAGTTCTCAGTAGAAAACTTCTAGAAAATAGCCAGTTTTTGACAGAATTTGGATGATCTCTGATTTAATTTTTTCCTGCAAGGCACAGTCTCTTTTCCACTTTACTTCCTCTGGTCTGTTGCCTATATTGCTACTGGCAATTTTTCTTTCTTTTCAATTGGCTCCTTCAAAGGCAAAACAAGACAGATTGATTAGAAGGACGCATCATCTTTAAGCCTCATAATAATCTCCCTTGAATAGGGCCCTGATCTGTTTAACCATTATTGAGCTACTGATTGCTTTGTAGAAAGGTGTAGTGTTTTTTTATAGTTCCAATGCCAAAGTAAAAAGGAATGTCCAAAAAGCTTCATCATCATGCCAAAACAAACCTATACAAACAAAACAGAAACTGCACAGCATTTGTTTCCAAGAGGCACTAAGCAGATATCTAACAACACAAGAACACTACTCTGCTGGTTTAGCAAACTCGATTGGTTTGCCTTCAACTGCTGCAGAAAGTATTCTGAGTTCAGCCAAGGAAGTTAGCTGAACTCAGACAAGCTTTCTAAACTGCAAGCCTGTGTTTTTTTGTTAGGAAGAGAAAGAAACAAATAGTAAGATGGATGTCTGAGAAGGGAACTTAAGGATTTGAAGAACCTCCCCGACATCTGCTCACACCACTCAGTAACAGATGATTCCAAACCAGCTGCTGAAATATGTGGAATTTCTCTTTGTCTCTTTCCAGCAGATCAAGATCAGAAGCTTAACAAAAAAACAAAAACAAAAACAAGACATCTCCCTCAACTCCAAGGAAGTGTCTGACTACTCCTGATATCAATGAGTTTGTTGGATGCTCCAACTTCTAATACCCTATAACCCACTGGAGTACACCCAATTTTACATTACAATGGCCAACCTCAAGAATATAAGGAACCCTTCTTTAATTTGCAGTTTCTTACCCAAGCCTCAAAGGCCTCAATTCCCCACTTACCTTTCACAGAAAGCAGAAAAAAAAAATTAAATGGGAGGAAGGAGATGAGGGAGGGGAATAAAATAAAAAAGACTTAGCCACTAAAGCCAGGAAAAATTATTTTACTTCTATCACCAATCCCCAAGGCAATATCTCAGAGGACTTATATAACTAAGCAGAGGTTATAGCACAGGCCCCTGAAAAAATTCTGGACTGCTTCTGCATAACAAAGTTATTTATTATCTTGCTTCTTCTCCTCATTTTAAAGTCACTAAAAAGTTATGATCAAATTTTCAATGCAAGAAGGACTTCGCACCTTCTTAGTCTTACTGGTAGAGAGACTGTAAATCTCATAAGCATCTGCAAAATGATGTTTCCCTGCATCATCCTGGGGAAGAAAACAAACAAAGAAAAAAAACCCACAAAACAAAACAGCACATGCCAACACAAAAAAAGCAAACTTCCAACTGCTCTACGTGAAGAGAACACTGCTCATACTTTCAGACTCCCTGGAATTTCAGTTTCTGGTGAAGCCTACCATTTCTCAGAAATCCAGTTCCAAAATTCCTTATAAAATGAACACAGTTTAAAATTGTTTCTTGAGACATCAGTTAATTCCTCTTCCTCAGAGATGATGACAGTTATGCCTCTCATAGTCAGTGAGCTGGTATCACAAACTTGACTGGGTATTTTCATCTGTTCCTTTGAGATGTACCCATTCATACATGTAAGCATAAATTTCAGCTAAGCTTTGAAACAAGCATACCTATACAACAAAGGACCTCTAAGAAGCTGCTCCCAAAACTAATGGATCAAGAGCCAATGATACAGGTCCCCAAACTGGAAATCAAAAAAAGAGGCATTTTCAAAATAAAGCAGATAATTTCAAATGCAAACCCCATTGACACAGTAATCTTTTGTACTGTTATGAAGAATACAGCAACATATAAAGAGGATTAATTATTTACAGTAAGTTCTTGAAGTTTAAGAAAAAATTTGAGTAAAGAGATACTTGAGATACTCTCTTACTAGCCAAAAATTAAAACACGCAATATTTTGATACCAGACATGGCTAAACTGTGGTCGTATGCAGATGTGATTGCTTCCATGCTAGCACCTTCCTCCTGAAAAATCGTCATGAGGAAAAAAACCCCCAGTATTACTACTCATGAAGATAAGCAGGTTTTGGTTCTATGAGATGGCTACTACTTGATTGCAGAGGGAAGAAGAGGCAACTTACGTAAGAAAAACAAACAAGAAACCCCTACAACATACCATCTTCCCCAAAGAAAAACATTGAGCCTCTTGCTTGATAACTGCACTCCAGCTATCTAGTGTCATGTCTTGTCAGTGCTGAGATAAGAACAATGACGTTGATTTGACTAGAGGATTCCATTTTTTATTGAGGTCTCTTGATACAGTGTTGTTTGGGTCTCTGATTCAGCGCACTTCAAGTGCCCAGTCCCAAGTATATAAATTCCCATTCTAACACCTATTCCTTGCTTTTATCTTTTGCTATCACAACGCAATTATATATTAGCAATTAAAAATAGTTTAGAATAAGATAACCACCTTCTTCACATGCATTTTCATAAATTTTAACTGATTTTCTAAAGTAGCTACCCCATGTGATGACTAAGTACTTGAAGTCTTTTCCTCCATATGAAGAGCAAAAAGGCCACATATAAAGAAGCCAAGGATATGCATACACATCCAAAAGGTCTTAACTTGATTACATGTTAATGCACTTACCTGATTTGATTTCTCTACTGTGCTACTGGGAACCTCTGTGGTATCCTTCACAAAAAAGTTATCTATGATGTGTCTCTCTGCACATTCCTGACCACAAATCGGACAGCGGATAACACCGACTGGGGGAAAAAAAAAAATCTCATTATGCTTACACAACTTAAGATATATCAAACAACTTCAAAGAAAGCTTGTAGGGATAAATATACTTTGAAAGAATGTTTTAATACCTTCCTGTCAACAAGGTGCAAGTAAAAAAGAAGGTAATTCTTATTTATCATCTGTAACCTTTACCTCTTACTCCCTGATCATGTCTTCTTTCAACCAAGGTCAAGCACCTCTTTGTTTCCATCCTATAAAGAATTTGCCTTAAAGAAAATTAATTTCTTTTCTCTAAAAGGAATGTATATATGCAAGGTCCTCTCCCTTCTCTCCTCTGCAAGACATGCAGATTCTGAAACAACAACATACTTAGACTCCTGGTTGAAGAAAGAGCAGAGAACCAGTAACTCGAAAGGTTTAAACACTTAATAACTTTCTTAAGAGAAACACTACAAAGTCAAATGCAAAACTTGGGGTTCAACAGTGACTAGACTAGACTGAAATGGAAAAGATATATATAAACATTTTAAACACCATTCCTAGGTGCAGCAAAAAGGAAGTCTTTCTGGCACTGAGGCTTGTTTATCCAAGAAAAATCTCTGAAATGCTAGATATTAACATCTTGATTTAAGAAAATTATCAATCACTACCACAAAAGAAAAAAAATTAAAAACAAAAAAAAAATAAAAAAGAAAACCAAACAACCTGAAAGTATGTTAGGCTGAAATAATCACTTAAGATGTGGAAACCACTATGCTTAGTCTACAGCCCAACAGTCATTCAAGTCCATACTGAGATAGACTCTAGACCTACAGCTGCTACTTGGAAGAGGCATGATTTTAGGGCCTTAAAAAAGATCACAGACACCACTTAACCCAATGAATTTAACACCAGTATACACCACTTGCACATTTAACAAAATCAGCATGGGTTTAATACTATTCCTGTTTCACTTTTTACAATAAAATGTAGTAGTACAGAAACTACTAAGTATTTCCCATTCTGCATAACTTAATCCATTATTGCAAGTACTTCATACAAGATTTAAGTAACTTCTTAATAATGTTCTTCCAATACACACTAGATACCTAACTTGCCAAGCCACTATAAAGCAGTTCTCTAGTGAAAGTCCATCTGTTTTACTGAATTAGCTCTTTATTCTGGAAATGTAACCAGCAGATTTCCACTTGTGTACAAGTCACAGAATCACAGAATGGCAGGGACCTCTGGTGATCATTAAGTCCAACCCACCCTTCCCCCTGCCAGACCAGGACCACCTAGGGCAGGTCACACAGAAACACATCTAGACAGGTCTTGAAAGTCTCTAGGGAAGAAGACTCCATAGCCATTTCACTCTCACCTGAAGAGCTAGGGCACTCAGTCCAGTTTTATTGTAATTGTCATTTTGTCAGTCTGCATTTCAATACATATTTGTGCAGCTTTGTTTGATATACAAATTCTGTATTTTGGCTAAAAAAAAGTTACGTTTTTTATGCCATGATTATGAAGGATAATTAAGAAATCCAATTCTGGTATGAAAAGTAGTTAATAGAACTCCAGGTACTGAATTTCTCCTTTTATCAAGCAAAACAATTTACCACAGTCAAGAGTAAACAAATTTTCTAATACTCAAGTCACATACTTGCTGAAAAAGACTATTTTTTACATTTTTCAACAGTGCAGATGACAAAGTGGCCTCTATTCACTTGCTGCTCATTCTTGACACTGGTGGGCCAGCACAGGAGAATGAGTCAATCTCTGCATGTGTTTGAGAGCATGGTATAGACAGAGAATGAGACTGGCAAACTGACTCAGGCATGGATATATTTCTCCTGCTCTCCCGGGCTTCACCTTCAGCCCCAGATCTGCTGTTTACACTGAATCAATGTGAGAAGTAGCACTGAAGATGGAAAGGGCCAACTCTGCCACTGAAGATGAAACTAAGCTGTATAGCCTTAAATCAAGGTTTTCTTCGGCAACTGAGTGTGGGTAAGTTTGCTTTTGTTATAATCCTGGATTGATGAGTGCTATACAAATCAGTTTTAAACCAGATTTAGTCAACTTCAGAATGATGTATTTAAGTAAAAATACCTAATATCATTATCTGAACATAATTGTTAAAAATCAGGTTACATTCTTGCGTACACAAGTGGCAACACAGGCCTTTTGGGCACAAAATATTAAATACAAGATAGCCAGGCAACATTTCTTTCAGGTCCTTATCCACTATTCTTAATGTATCCAAGGCTCTTTCAGTAATGTACTGAATGATACAAACCACATGTCTTCGTGCATGTGTGTTTTTTTCATGCCTGTTGCATTTGAAGAAAACGGGTCATGACAAATAACAGCACCTAAAGAATTCATGTAGGTTCATTTCAGAACTTCAATCTAGCCACCTCAGACACTGTCACACAGATATGCTGCACATCAGCACTGGAATTTCTACCCACATTCCTCAACAGGAAACAAACAGTACAGTGGAGTGCACCATCTGATCACCACACAGTCCTACAGAAAACAGTGAGGAGCTGGAAGTTCACCAGAACCCAGGTAACTAAGAGACATTAAGTTACTGAGAAGAAAAAATGTGGTTTACTGGGAACTCAAAATTCAGAGCTTGCTATGGGAAAATAGCCACAGAAAAGACAATTACTATTTTGGAATGAAATTGAAAATATGGATAAATATGAAAACAATGTATAAAAACTAAAAAAAAAATAAAAATGCTGGCTGTATTCAAGTAAAGACACTAATTTAGCAAAGATCACGGACAAACGTTTCAACATTAGCATTTCTACTTAATTATAACAGGTGACCATGATAATGTAAGTAGTAAAGTTTTGTTTGGAAATAGTAATTTTCTAGTAAATTCTCACTTTGCAATACTAGTTAGAGAATGCAGCTTTTTGTATAAAATCATAAAACAAAACATAGGCCAGTAACTTAGTCGTTATTCATCCAATATAAATTGTACAGTTCTCAGACATCACAGATCGGATGGAATTTAAGTCAGTTAGTGTTATTTACATTGCTTACAGCCAAAAAAATGCATCAGCACAATCCTAAGAGCACATATGTAAATGCCTGGCTGAGGAGTTATGAACATAAAATACTGGGAACCGGAAAGTTACTGGAGTTGCTGTTTCTGAAAATGACACATGAACACGAATCTTTTTGGTTCAGTAAAGTGGTGCATTGGATTTACATGTCCAGATTCTGGTAATCAGGGGTGAGGGAGACCTGCAGGTATCCTCTCTGAGAGGACACAGGCACTGCCCCCATATCAGAGAGCCAATTCCAGCCAGCTCCAAGATGAACCCACCACTGGCTAAAGCTGAAACCATCAGCAATCCTGGTGGCACCTCTGTGCACAAGTTTAAGAAAGGGTGAAAAAATGCTGTGCAACAACAGCTGAGAGAAAGTAAGAAAAATGTGAAATAGCTCCACAGAAACCCAGGTCAATGAAGGAGGGAGGAGAGGTGCTCCAGTCGCCAGAGCAGAGATTTACCTGCAGCCCATGGAGAGAAGATTGTCCCTTGCAGCCTGTGGAAGGCCACATTAGGGCAGATATCCACATGCAGCCTGTGGAGGAGCTCACACTTCAGCAAGTGGAGATGTACTGAAGGAAGATGCAGTTTGTAGAAAGCCCACGCCAGAACAGGCTCCTGGAAGAGCTGTGTCCCACGGTCATGTGCCTATGCAATAGGAGGTTTTCCAATAGGACCTGTAACCTATGGGAGACCCACACTGGAGCAGCCTTTTCCTGAAAGACTGCACCCCATAGCAAGGACTACATTGGAGCAGGTCTTAAAGGACTGTATCCCAGGGGAAGGACACCACACTGAAGCCGGAACAAGTGGGTGGAGGATGGAGTGGCAGAAAGGAAGTTATGAAGAGACCCCATTCCACATCCCTGCTCCACCACCAGCGGAGGTAAAGTCAGGAATGAAGGAGGGAGGTTGAAGAGAAGTGTGAGGATGAGAGTTGTTTTTTTTCTGTGTGTGTCTCTTCATCCAAATAATTTCATGGGCAATAAATTAATCTTTCTCCCTGTGTTGGGTCTGTGTGGCAGGGCTTTGGCAGTGGGGGAGGGGCCACAGGGGTGGCTCCTATGAGAAGCTGCAAGAAGCTCCTCTGGCACCAAAAACCTGGACCAAAAGTCTTGGCCTCTGGCCAAGGCTAAGCCCATCAGTGAAGGTGTTAACACCTCTGCAGTTGACATATTTAAGGGGAAAAGGAAACTTCCAAAGGAGCTGCAGCAGAGAGAGGGGTGAGATAAGAGAAAAACACCAAGATCAGTGAAGAAGGAAGGGGAGGAGGTGCACCAGAGCAGAGATGCCCTTGAAGCCCATGGAGGATCGCCATGGGGCAGATACATAGACCTGCCACCTTGAAGGACCATGGTGGAACACGTGGACATGCAGCAGGAGGACCCCATACCAGGGCAAGCAACTGTGCCCAAAGCAGGTTATAACACCACAAGAAGCCTGTTCTGGAGCAGTCTATTCCTGAAGGACTGCAGGTCATGGGAGGGACTTGTGTCCAAGGAGCTCATGAAGGATTCTCTCCTATGGGAAGACCCCACATTGGAGCAGGCAAAGAGTATGAGGAGTCCTGCCCCTGAGGAGGAAGAAGCAGCAGAAAATGACGTGTAACAAACTGACCACAAACCCCGCATCCCCCTGTGCCACTGGGGAGGTGGAGAGAAATCAGGAGCAAAGTAACTTGGGCCCAAGAAGAAACAAGTAGTGGGAGAAGATACTTTTTTTTAAGATCTGGTTTTACATCTCATTATCCTACTCTGTTTTGTTTGGTAACATGTCAAGACTGTTTTGCCTGTGACCATAACTAGTAAGTCATCCTTCCTTGCCTTTCTCTCTTTTTGTTATATTTTTTCCTCCCCATCCCACCAAGGAGGAGTGAAGCAGCTGTGTGGTGCTTTGCTGCCAGCTGGCCCTACCCATCATGGGCAAATCAGATTCAAGGTGACTCTCATTGGTCTTAGAGAGAGATCTTACTTCTTCTTGGTATTTTCTGTTTGGTTGGTTTGGGGGTTGTGTTTTGTTGGTTTGTTTAAATCTAAATGCTTTAACTAGAATTCTGTCTTGGTTGATATGAGAAGTAAAATGGACCTGAAAGAAATATTGGTTTGCAAGTTTTATATAGAGCAGACAGTGCTCTGTCACAGTGCAGTCTTGAGAGGTGGAAGGAATACTCAACCTTGTGTCAATTACAAGATCTGTACCA